TATAACTTCCACCTACCCTCATCAACTTTATCAGTATATCAAAAAGGAGTCTACTTTACTGGCATAAAAGTGTTCAACAATCTGCCACAAAGTATTAAAAACTTGGGCAATGATACTAAAAAGTTTAAATCAGAGTTAAAGAATTATCTACATGCTCATTCCTTCTACTCTTTAGATGAATACTTCAATGTAAATAGAGAATGATGTAAAATTAAGTTATATTAATTTTTAAGCTAAAATTGCCTGTACTTATGTATGTAACATTTTGACTTGTTCTGTATCCAAAGGTACTAACCTGCTTAGGATTTATAGAATGTAAATAAATTCAATTCAATTCAATTCAATTCTACACCCCTGCTAATAATTGAACTCCAGTTCTCTGGTTATCCAGCCTGAAGCCCAGTCATTATACTGGCTGAGTTACCTGAGTCTCCACCTAATTTAATTGTCTGAGTTTAACTATTATATAAAGACTGATAGATCAATTTTTTTAGATAATTAGTGACATTGTTTCAACTGTAGAAGTTTTAGCATTAAATACAATTAAAAGATGGTGATTTCAGAGTATATGAAGATTCTGAAAGCTGTGGAAATGGAATATTCGAACACACTTTCTCAGCAATTATCTGGAAAGTATGAAGAAAACCAGAAAAATGTAAATCAGGAGAGTTGGTAACCCAGCTGAACCCTTGAACTATCACAGTTCTAGAGCATTACCACTACACCAGCCTGCTTCATTAACTGAAGAGAATACAATCTATATTGTGGAGAAATACCTTAAGTTCATGTGTCTTAGTGGAATTTTCGTTTGTTAGCTTTTCAACAATTTCTGTCTGCAACTCAAATTCCGCGTGCACCTTGGTCAGCCGACTGTTGAGACTTTCAACATCTCTCTGTAGGTGTTCATTCTGTGTCTGAAATATTGCAGAAAAATTTGTAAAATTTTCATGCCCAGTCCACACTGTTCTCTTAGTCTGAATTCTCCCAGTATCCAATTTTTTTCTTTCTAAATAGGTACAATAATTTAAATACCCTATTATTACCAGTGAATTTTCTAAAAACATGTTTGCCAGTAATCTTATGTTTGGATTTAGCCTCAAGGTTGAAACATACGCTGCACTAACAAATGTGCAACTTCTTATACATTTACCACTATGCATCAGTTGTTTGCTGGTATGCATACTGGCATGTACCAGCTAAAGAACACTGATTATATCTTTCATTAACTCATTATTGCTACTAAACTTTTTAGCTAAAATCTTATTGTGAACTTTGCCAAGTACCTTTATTCCAAAAACTCAGGTATGACTTTGATATATGTAGATTCATAATGTTCATTTCATTTTAGAAGGAACCGTTTTCCTACTTCTGGTGCATAATTTAGCACTAGCTATGTCTATAAGCAGGATCATTATACTATCAGTAAGCGAGGAATATTGTAAGAGGACGTGCATGAAGTCCTTTCAAATATGTGTCTTATTTTATGGGTGCATATTCATTCTAGTGGATATACATGTCATATGACTGAGAAGAAATAAAAATTAAAGGTTTAATTAGATTTTTCAATAAAGTTTGAATATCAGAAAATGTCCTGAATCAAGGATCCTCCTCAGTGTGAAAGTATGATTATAGTTGGGTACATGCAATTCATATTTGGCTTTTGGGCTTTAAAATGTGCAATTAAACCATATATTACTCTACATAAATATTCTTCAACATTATTTTAATTCTATGTATTTTTGAGAAAATTGCTATTATAATAAAAATATTTATTAAGTGCAAGCCATCAAAAGTACTGCCCAAGCCTCTTCATTGATTCTACCATCTGCCTCATGGCTACTCAATTTCCAATGCATTGTATAGACAGCAGACAAGCATTATTTATAACACAGCAGGTCTTATGGGTTATGATACTGTGGCATGTAGACCGTTGCTGGGCAGAGACCTCGAAACAGACGAGTACAGCTGTTGCTATGCAATAGGTGGATAAACAAACACCCATTTCTAAACAACGGCTCAGTAAACACATTCCCATGGAAATGATATTCAGTCTACCACTTGGCAACCACCCATGACAACAATAGAAGGATTGCTGGATGTGGTGTTTTCTATTGGTTCTGCCCTGAGGTTATATAACGAGGACACCGGCCGAGCCGCAGAGAGTTGTGAGCAGTGCAATTGAGTGAAGTGACATAAAGTAGCTGGTTGGTGAGTGAGAGAGTTCAGTTTTCAAAAGTTCAGTTGAAAATCAGCCTATGAAGAGAAGACCAGGAGGTTGGTATGAAATGGCCACCAGCCTGGGCTGCAGTTAGCTGAGTTGTCAGTTGACAAGAGTTCTGCACAGGTGGATGTGACAAGAGGACCAGAGTGCAGGAAGCTGAATAATCTCCACTGCGTCAAATTCCTTGCCAGGAAACAGCTAGTGGAGACTATAATAGACCAAGGACCCTACTCTGTGTCAGCAATATGTAAAGTGTAATTCTGAGTGGTGTGTACAAGTGGTCAAAAAATCCATTCACAAATCCAAACCCCATCTATAGTCGCCCCTAAATACGTGACAATAGTATGATACTATGTAGTTTCATAGGGGTTACCAACATTTCAGAAGAATCTGCTGCTTCATTCTTCAGGATAGAGAATGGAGAGAGCATATCCCTCCAAAGCACTGGTAACTACCTATGAAACTCCATGGTATTATAATTCAGACCACAGTCTTAATTATCACACAATCTAGATAAGAATTATAAAAATAGAAACATCTATATTCTATCAGACAGTCAAGCTGCAATTAAAGTACTTGGAAAATACAACATAATCTGAAAACTGGTCTAGGACTGTCATCAATCCCTCATACAACTGGCCAAATACAAGGTGTGTCCCAAAAGTCATGAAATATATATATATTTTTTAAATTTATTGATGATATTGGTACAGAGTGTTAATATTGTGATGTGTTGCACTATGGATGACACCCCTCCCTCCACCCCCTGCCAGCCGTGACGTGCCGAGCAGAGCCGAAGTTAGCCGAGTCCCAGCATACTGGTCGCTATGCAACGCGAGTCAACAGTGGTGACGTAACACGGGACGCCGCAGTTACTACGTAGCGGTAAACAACTCCCAACAGTGTTGCTAGACTATCAGCTACTACGGCGGCAGACAGCAGTGGTTGCGAGAGACGATGATAATAACAGTGGTAGCTATTACATGGCTGTTTTCTCTGTTGTCTGGAACAGGGCTAAATGAGGAGCAGCGAAGAGTATTCAAGACAGTTCTCAATCTAGCCAGCGGAGAGTAACGAGCTAGCCAGCAACCAGTCAGTTGTATTCTGGCGTTTGCAGTCTAGTATTTGTGATACTGCAGATAGCAGTAATTGTGAATCTGTAAATTGTGTGATTGTAAGAGCAAATGTGGAATAAAATTCGCTATATCCACTAAGGAGTGAAGTTATTTGTTGCGTTATACACCCAACACGTGACAGTATTCTTCAAAGTACTGTCCATGAGCATCTACACATTTTTTCCACCAACTCTCCCATGCCCGGTACGCCCCCTCAAAGGCCTCGACGGGAACCTCATTTAAAGCTGTTGTCACGGCCGCTTGGATAGCCTGAATGCTTTCAAAACGGCGTCCTTTGAGTGCAGTCTTGATCCTCGGGAACAAAAAGAAGTCGGCCGGAGCTAGGTCGGGGCTGTAGGGTGGCTGCAGCAGCGTTGCCACGTGGTGCTTCGCCAGGAACTCACGGACGAGCAGAGACGTGTGGCTGAGCACATTGTCATGATGCAGCCGCCAGTTAGCGGCGATGTCCTTTCGCACGTGGATGACCCTTTTCCTTAATCTTTCTAGAACATCCACGTAGTAGGGAGCATTGACGGTCTGTCCTTGGGGTTTTCATTGGTTTGGCTTGTTGATGGCCATCCAGAGCGGGGGTCATCTTCCATTCCTTCCTGGCCCTCCCCACCTTGTAGCAGACTCCCCGTAGGCTTGCTTAAGCAGTTCGTGAGTTTCGGCAGCTTTTTTGTTGAGCTTTGTGCAGAACTTGACCGCCCAACGTTGTTCGAAAGTATCCGCCATCGCGCACCATGACATAGTCACAAAACACAGGTGCACTAAATCAGCGATACTGATGCCTCCAATGCTTGAGCAGACTGACCTTGGGCGCACTGTGAAGCTAAAGGCCTCCCCCCTTAACCCAACCGGTTCCAGCACACTCCGACCAGTAAGAGCGCGGGAAAGAAATATATTTCATGACTTTTGGGACATACCTTGTATAACAGAATTCAACTGATATGGGTGCCAGGGCATGAGGGCATTGTTGGTAATGAAATGGCAGATCAACTAGCAAGGACAGGACCTGAACATCCCTTCATAGGACCTGAACCAGCTTGCGGCATCTCAGTAGGAGAGTATTGCAGGGACTGAAACCACAGATCAACTGGCAAGAACAGGATCTGAACAGCCGTTCATAGGACCCATAGAACCTGAACCAGCTTGTGACATCTCAGTAGGAGAGTACTGCTGGGAATGAAACCGCAGATCTGCTGGCAGGAACAGGACCTGAACCAGCTTGCAGCATCTCAGAAAGTGGTCAGGGACTGAACAAACAGAAATCATAGAAGACATTGGAAATCCATAACTGGACTCAAACAGGCAAAAAGACTTCTAGTGGGGCCCTCTGCCAGAAGAATGATCTATTAAAATTAAACAAAGACCAGTATAGATGGGTGGTAGGATTACTTACTGGACACTGCCACCTAAAAGGACACATTTTCAAATTGGGACTGACAGATAACCCTATTTGTGAAAGGTGCCAAGAAAAAGATAAATCAACCACACATCCTACATGATTGTAAGGCCATAGCTTATTTAAGATTTCATCACATGGGCCAGTTTTTTATGGAACCAAGTGACTACTATGACACCCCCATAAACAAAATGCTACAGTTAATTTGAAGTGTAGGACTGATAAAGGGTTAATCAAAAGGGGAAGTACAATAGATCATTGAAGGTCATAGTGCAAGGGCAACATTATTGTGGCCCATCCCTTATGCATTCATTCATATCACTAATAAAGTTTAAAATTTCAATCCAGTCATCATATACACTCAACTCTCGATTATCTTGGGGCGGATAAACCGGTTTGCGGCTTAACCAGGGCTACTGGGGCTTTTCTGAGGCTTATATGTTGTTTAATATTCATTCACTTTTGTTTCACATGGAGAGTTGTAACACTATTTTCGCACTAGTGTGAACCAAGCTCTGCATTTCTTGGTCCCGTTATTGTAACACAGTGTTCTAGGGTAGGGGTGAAAGAATGCAAGGATTTGTGGAAAGTTTCAAGGACAGATACACCGCCCCAGTTAGTCTCTTTGAATCGATCTTCAAGTGCGTTAGCAAAATGTCGGGGTGTAAAAGGAAGCGTGTTGTGTTAAGTATTCAACAGGAACTTTACAGTTGGGAAAAAGAGGTGTAGTTAAACAATTAGCAATGCAATATGGTATTGGAGAACGAACTGTTCGTGATTTGAAAAAACAAAAGAATCCATTAATTTCCTTTGCTTTGTCTTCTAATTCAAGCGGAATGAAGAAGAGAAAACCATGAAAAAATCAACATATGATGATCTCGACAAAGCAATGCTGATCTGGTTTAATCAACTAAGGGCACAGGGAACAACAATAACAGGAGCAGTTTGTGCTAAACAAGCGAAATTTTTTCCAAAGCACTTGAACTACAAGGAAGTTTTGATGCTTCTTCCAGTTGGCTAACACGTTTCAAGCAGTGTCATGGAATATGAGAAATTAGTATTCAAGGTGAGAAATAGTCAGGGGAGTTGTCATCATCAGTTCAATTTTGCACCAATTTTGATAGTTTCATGAAAAGTGAAAATCTGCTGCCAGAACAAATCTATAATGCCAATGAAACGGGTTTTTATTGGAAATGCTTGCCAACCAGAACTTTGGCATTTCAAAATGAAAGACAGGCTCCAGGTCACAAATCCAGTAAGGAGAGACTGACAGCCTTGTGCTGTTCTAATGCATCAGGAACACACAAACTAACACCAGTATTTATCGNGGATACAGTAAAGCCATCTGTATTGAAAAATTCATGGAAGAAACCGATGCCTTTTATCACTAATGAAGGTGATAAAATCCATGGATTCACTGGATTCAGTGAAAATGAGATAGCCATAGAATTGACAAAATTAGCTAACCAAGTTCATGGTGGTGAAGAAGTCAACAAGGAAAATATAAGAGAGTGGTTTGACTGTGACTCGTGAGAGCCGGGCTTTGAAATGTTAAGCAGTGATGAAATCGTAAGTTCAGTGCCGGTGCAGCCCGAAGAGCGGGAAGAAAGTGAGAATGAGGAAGAGGTGGACAGTGCTGCTAGTAAGAAAATATCACATGGTGCTGCTCTTAATCATTTAGAATCCTTACTAGACTATCTTGAGAGTGAAGAGAACAGTTTATTAAGTGACAAGCTAATATTACGTAGGCTTCGTATGGATATCCGTAAAAAGGAAAATGCCACGAAAAAGCAAACATCAATATTAAATTTTTTTAAGTGTGAATATTCTTAAAAAGTGTTGGATGTTGTTGAACACTGTGATTGAAATAACTAATTCATACTTCAGTGTAATGTAAAAAAAGTATTAAATAGGCCATGAGATGACATAAAAATGAGGTTGAATAAATTTAATTACAGGTAGACCTATAATATTATGAAGGTACAGTATTACAGTACTACTTTTAATAAAATTTGTCTTAAACCGGGTTTTCGATTAATCGTGATTTCTATCCCCACCATTATCCCGGATAATCGAGAGTTGAGAAAAAAATGTGTTTTTTTAAAGGAGAGCAATCTACAAGTCTGAGGATTCATTTTACAGGATACAGGATGCAGGAGCTTATTACATAAATACATTAGTGAATTTAGTTTTACTGCTTGTTTCTTTCTCTATTAATACCTTCAGATCTTTCACATTTGCCTCTAGCTTCCCTATATTGAGCTCTGCTTGACTGAGCTGGTGTTTGAGATTTGTTGCTTCTGAATCTTTATCCTGCAAGCTAGTAGACAACATCTTCAGTTCTTGTTCCAAATGTTCTTTGACACGGAGTTCTTTGTTTATTTCATTTGTCTGATTCTGAAAGAAAATCACAAACACACTGTGACATGATGCCTAAAAGCCAGAATGCATGAGTCAGAGAAGCAATTCAGTAACGTCCATTGCTAGGCAGGGGCTTAGTAAACACATTTACACTATCTCTCCCTTTTGGGCAGGTATACAAGATAGGAAACCATAGGAAACCCGAACTATTAGGCCAGACTACATACAACCTCAGCTATGAGATAATTTTTAGACCAGTGGTTTCCAAAACTTGACATGATTCCCCATCACTTGGTTTTCACCAAATCCCATGTCTCCTCCTGGCATAAATGTAGCCCATTATACTCATATTTATATTATTGCTCATGACCAACTTAATCTGTAACTGGTATCAAACAAGAAATTAATACAAATTTCGAATTTTACAATGAAAATGCTGCACAGTTCTCTTGTTTGGCAATGAATAATACCAATAAATGGTGAAAAATCTAATCACTCAAAAAATTTTATATATATTTGGATTAATAATGCTACAAATGAGACATATTAAGGAATATCAGACATTTTGGTTCTGAGTAAATTAGATTTTTAACAATGTTGGTGAAAAAATCTTCTTCTGCCTTTCTCTGTAATGTACAGTGTTTCGTGAAGTGAAGCTATGTTAAAGTTACAACAGATATTCCATAGACACCAGCAAAGGAACGCAATTTTATTACACAAAATTCGGCAAGGAAAAGGAAAAGGAAAATCTGAGGATGATATATTCTAAAATAAAATTCGCTTAGTGGGGGTTGGAGTCCAACTGGGTCCAGTCGGCACGGCGGCCAATGATTGGCCTATTGTAGCCTGCCCCAGGTGATTATGATGGAAAACGTAGTGGAATGAAGATTGGCAGGGGAAACCGAAGTACTCGGAGAAAACCCGCCCCAGCGCCACTTTGTCCACCACAAATCCCACTTGACCAGACCCGGGATCAAACCTGGGCCACCGCAGTGGGAAGCCAGCGACTAAATGCTTGAGCTATGGCGCCGCCTTATTCTAAACTTCCCTTTAAAATATTTTTATTTTCGTTTTTTCCTTTCTGAACATTCTACACGTGCAAGGCCAAAAAGGAAAAAAAAACCCAGAAAGAATGTTCCAAAATGTATTATTATTTTAATCATTTTTTGCCTAAATAGTTAGAAATGTTTCAATGTAAAGTGTTCTTCCTGTCTTAGCAGTAAGAAATGTTCATGTTTCCTTCCTGTCTCCTAGTGACATCTGTCCAGACATTTTGAAAGACAGTCCAGTACATGAGAACAGTGTTACTATTACATATTACTTCTAGCCCTTCAGTTGTCTTTATATGAATAATGTAAAATAACCTCATGATTGTAAAGTAATAGAATCAGATATGGGGTTTCACCTATCTGCATAGAATCATGCATTTTTAAGTGATTATTATTTTGTGCCCACCTCTAATTCCTGTGTTAGTTCATTGCATCGCACATCTATTGCAGAATTCTTCCTTTTTAAGTCTTCTTGAACAGTTAAGGCACTGGCAAGTTGTCCTCGCAATATCTCAACTTCATGCATTAAGTGCTCCTCCCTTTCTCTCAGGAAATTTTCTTTATCTTTCTTTGCACTACCAGACCTACAACAAATATGGAAGACAGATAAAAATTCAACAGACATGAAGCCGATGGTTTATAGTTATAGCAGTCTTCTCTTCTTTTCTGGCTGGCATATTTTTCTTTGTGTCTTGTCCTTCTCTTGCCACTAGTAAAGGTGAAATTTCCTTAATGTGAGAAATTACCAGTCTTCCGGCATGGTTCAGAAATCATATTGAGTTACCAGTCCTCTCAGACAGTCATCACCACGACCACCACCACTGTAATAAAATCAGACTCATAGGTGCCCGCAGGTCTCCTTCATTACAGCCAAGGTAGGCAGGGGCCAGAAATGTCTAACAGACCACAACAGACATTACCCATAACAAAAACAACATTCAAACAGGCAAAGAGATATCATATTAGATGTTTAAATTTGAATACTGTTCTGATTCTATCTGTCCTTGAGCAACCCAATCAAAATCCACTAGGTTTCGATGTTTCTTCTTTCTTTCATATTTCACAATATGTTTTGACCTAACTGGCTATAATCAGGTGTACAAGGTGTGTTTAAGGAGTCTGCAGAAAGAAGAAACATCGAAACCTAGCAGATTTTGACTGATTGTACAATGATGGATGAGAATCAGAACAGTATTTAAGTTTTTACACAGTGCAAGAGGATGCTAAAATATAATATTACATATTCACATTCATATTTAATGTGACTTCCAGAGATCTATGTACATAGATATAGAATCCATCATTGTTTACATTAGATAACAAAATACTAAGATATTTAATCATACAATATAAATCCAACTGGATAACACAAAGTATAAAACATACATATGTGTCTATGATAGGCCACATATAATGTATCACTCACTATGCAAGGTAACACTATAATAAAATAATTGACCATACAATGTAAATCCAACTGTACATCCATTTCACAATAACAATCATTTATGTACAAAATATAAAACATGCACATACATCTACAATAGGCCACATATCATCATAATAAATTGCTTAATTATAAAATATCATTGTTTTAATCCAATTTCTAGCCATGATTCAATTCCAAAAATTCCTCAATAGTATAAAAGGAATTCTGTAATAAGACAATTATAAAAGACAAGTCCGTCCAGTGTGACTATTTCAGTTTTCTCACTTTATGATTCACTAGCCTTACATGTTTCGATCCATTTGGATCATCTTCAGAGGCACCAAACACTTTTTAGAAACCACTATCACAACAGTTGTCATATCAATTACACATGTATTGCCAAGTACACAATGTTCCATCTATGTGTCACAGCAGCCTTTCTGGTTGTAGAAATATTTAAAGTTGTTTTAAAGTTTTAAAAACTTTGTTCAAAATTTAAAATTCATAAACCTTACGGTTCGTGTCAATAACCCTTGTTGTCTCTCTTCTAGGTGGCCGATGTTGTGCCGCCTATGTAACTTGAGTAAGGAGATTCTTAATATAGTCCTTTGTGATTTCTTGGCCCGCTGTGCTGTTTTATATATTAAGAATCTCCTTACTCAAGTTACATAGGTGGCACAACATCGGCCACCTAGAAGAGAGACAACAGGGGTTATTGACACGAACCGTAAGGTTTATGAGTTTTAATTTTGAACAAAGTTTTTAAAACATTAAAACAATTTTAAATATTTCTACAACCAGAAAGGCTGCTGTGACTGACAGATGGAATATTGTGTACTTGGCAGTACATGTGTAACTGCTATGACAACTGTTGTGACAGTGGTTTCTAAAAAGTGTTTGGTGCCTCTGAAGATGATCCAAATGGATCGAAACATGTAAGGCTAGTGAATCATAAAGTGAGAAAACCGAAATAGTCACACTGGACGGACTTGTCTTTTATAATTGTAACTGTTAGTGTGATGGACCAAAAATGAAACAAATCAAATTCTGTAATAAGAATGTTGTCAACTTAGATTTTAACTCTTTGTGTCATTAAACATAGACACTTAATTTCAGTCAGCAGATTGTTGAAGATCTTTACTCCCATATAACATATTCCTTTTTGGAATAGTGTTAAGTTAGTTTGGGGTAGTACTGATCATAAATAGCTCTGATATTAAATTCATGTACTTGGGAGTTAAATTTAAATAATTTCCTATTTATTATATCTTACTGAAAACCGTCATAACACAACAGTCAATAATACGTATAAGTAGCTCTAGGAAATACTTTTGCTACATGTTTCAGCCTTCAAAAAATCATCATCAGGCAAATACATTAAACTTTTTGTTATTGAATTGCACGTAAAATATAGGATACAGTGCTAAACTTCCAAATATATACAATGGTATAAAATGATATGAGTGAATATAAAATATAAATTACAATAAAACCTGAAGTCTTAAATAACCAGTTATATAGTCAAAAGTATAGTTAAAAGTTGTATATGTGATGGTATTTGGAAGTTGGTGGTTGTAATTGTAATATACATAATGCTTATACAGATCTATCTCTCCATCAAATCGGACGTTTACACAATGGAGTCTCCCGACAAATAGGATCAAATATTAAATAATAACATACAACATAACAACAAGCCTCCGAACACCACATCAGCCATTGTGTATATATGTCCATATAAACATTACATATATTATGATTACAACTGCCAACTTCCAAATACTGCAAGTTTAGCTCCGCCCAGCAAGCATGGTATAAAAGGCAGAGCTCAAAACTCGCAATCATCAGTGATCACATTCGGTTCAAAGCGATCAGTCATCAGAGTCATCAGTTCTTCAATCACCTTCACTGCACCAAAGACAGCTAATGTAGCTGTCGCAGCTCTCCAGCAACCGTGCCGAGACAATGGCTCCATCAGCGTCCACACCATAGGCAGCTGTTCCTACCGGTGGACGCAGCACTGCATCACCAGCCAGCCAGACTAGCTGAACGGCTGTAAAGAAGATCTGGTCTGCTACAAAGCAGCAAACTCTACTAGCACACGCATGGTGGAACAAACTGCCCTTTTCAGGGCCAGCAAACCTTTGAACAACATACATTTTAAGAAACGCCCCTTTTCAGGGCCCGCAAACTTAACATCGACATTCCACATAGCTTCACAGCTATTCTGTACATTTGAGAATAATGTATACAATTGTTATAGTTTTACGTGGTTGTCTCTTAGAACATCAACATCGCACAAGTTTTATATGATGGAAGAGCACAGTACAATTAAATCTGTTGATCCTTTAAATCATACACCACATCCAAACCATACAAGTATTACAGCAAAGCATACTGAAGTCTCTAGCAATCTGAGTGGGTAATTTCTTACTTGAGCTACCAGGAATACTTACAGGCCTTGTAATATATGGATCAACTCCTAATAATGATTTATTGAATTGGCTAATTGTAAAGAAACTCTGGGTGATGTTTAAATTCATATAATAATTCCAATGCTGTGGCCATACAAAATGTTCAGGTGGAATCAATAGTCTTTGACACAATTTGTACAACACCATTCTTTTCAAAAACGTGGAACTTTTCACTAAGGTACTTTTTAGATGGAAAACAAAAGCCTGATGACTGTCTGAAATATTCTTAATTTAATGATTATAACTGAAGAACCAGTGTCTCTACAAACTTATGTCAAAAATTAACACTTCAATTCTAAAAAATACATGATAAATTCACTACTCACTCTTCTAATTGGTCCAATCCAAGCCTAGCCCTTTGTTCAATCTCTGCATTCAACTGATTTATTTGATGTCTGAGATTTTCGATTACTTGTTGAGAATTTTCTTCTCGGGCATGAGCTGAGTCCACCATTCTCCGTGCTTGATTAATTTCATCTTTGAGCTGATCAATTATTTCTTTATCAGCTGCTGCCAGTTTTCCTGCAACAGCTACTTTATCAGTATTAGTTTTAACCTGAGTCTGCAACATTTCATTTTCCTTCATGAGTTCCTCTTCATGAACATAGGCCTTGTAGAATGCCTCAAAGATTCGTGTGTATTCTTGGGCAAAAGTTTTTTTGCCCTCCTCTTCCATCTGAGCATGCACCTGAAAACATTACTTAATTTGAAAAAACTGAAAAAGTTTGTGACTTCAGCTTAATATTTTACTCTTTGCTGGTCGGTTAAGGACAGCCTCATTATTGAAATGGAGGTAGCTGAAGAAAATATTAATCTTATCTTCTTCTCAGAATTCTTTATTTCACTTATAGAAGATTACAATATTTTTTGTAGATTAAAAGGTTTTAGAAATTGAATTACATTCTATTTAAACCAACAAATGAACACAATGAATTACACTTGACATAATAACTTCATAAACTCTACAATGCAGTTATTTTCATATATATAACTCAAAAACATCCTTCAGTTCCAATTCTTGCTACTCACACTTTGATAAGTTTGCTCCAGAATCTGATTTTCACTCAATTTGGTAACTTCGTCACCTCTTTGTTCATTTTCTTCCTCTTCCTCCTTAGACTCTGATGTCTCTTCTTGAGTCTGCAAATTAATTATGTTATTATTTATCTCTGTCAAAATATTAAAGTTAAGGATCTGACATGGCTCAAGATGGGATTCTATAACAGTCTCCAAGGTAGAATATTGGGTTCTCTTGCTACATACTTGGTTACAGAGTAAAGAAGGTCAGGAGAAAGGTGATGGAAAAGTTCAAGCTTAGGCAAGCAAAAGCAGTGCAGATACCAACATTCAGCCTTCATCATGCACCTGAACATCAATTGGTCAGTTAGTTATAGAAATTTAAAAACTTCCACATGGTTGTGATAGACCACAATGTAGTTTGCATCCCCTTAAGCTAACATGACTTTATCAAACCAAATCAAGTCTAACTAAAGATTATCCATGAGCACTGTTAGATTAAAAATCATCATGAAACATTCTATGGTGGAAGGAGCTAAACTGTATACTGCCCTTTAACGCAAAATTAATATTTCATAGGTTATATATAACTTCACAGTAATACCTCTTCTTCAGTCAGGCCTTCTTCCATGATTATGAAATTACTGCAGTATTTCTTACTTTATCATACATTCACAGTAGTTCATAATAAATTCATTTCAATAAAAATAATTTTATAAGCAATGAACATAATTCCAACACTATATCCTACATAAACTGCACTCAGATATGTACCAGTTTTATTTGTTACCATGGCAACAGATTCAAAGCATGTTCATGGAGAGGAGTCCTTGAGAAGCTAATAAAATTCGTTTGTATAATCTACATTCAATTTCGATACCAACTCTTCTCAGAATCACAGAAGAAGAAAAACAAGAGAGCTATACCTACTTGGAACTTTGTATGTGGTTTGCAGCAAATTCTATAACAGAACCTTAAGTAAACATGTCAGAATTCTTTAGCCTAACATTATTAGATGCAAAATTTTGCAGATTTGAACCTATACACATACCAGAGATATGTATGCTATTAATCATGATTTCTTATGGGTGTCTTTAAGACATATATGAGATTTCTTACTAAATTTGAAATGCCAGTAGTACCTCTATACCTCATGAATCCTATTATATTATTTCAGAGCCTAAGTTGACTTTTAAGTGCTTCTTTAACATTGCAGAGCTGGGACAGTTTGGTTGGTATAGTGACTATGCTACATGTTAGATGACCAAGGAATCAGAGTTCCATTTCAGGTTGAGAAAGTGTGCCCTCTCTTCTTCATAACTTCTATGCTAGGCCTGATCCAAACCAGCCCCCTCTAACAGATACTGGGGACTACTTCCCTGGACATGAAGTGGCAGATGCTCATATGTACATTCATCTCTACCTAGTGCCAAGGTCAAGAATGGTGGAGCTATACCTTCATTTCCCCATACATCTTCATGGAATGGTGCTTCATTGATGAAGCTCACAGATAACCTTACATTTATCTTATTGTAGGCAGCATGCAGTAGCATAGTTGGTTGAGGCACTATGCTACAAGCTGGAAGGTCGCGGCTTTGAGTCCCGATGAGGTGGATTTTTATCAATTGACCTAACCCTTTCAGCTGCACTATGGCCCTGGGGCCGACTCAGCCTCTAATAGAAATGAGTACCAGAAATCTTCCTGCGGTGTAAAGGGCAGCAAGCACATAAGGCTGACAACCTTACCACCATCTGTGAGCCAATTGTCTAGATAATGTGAGACCCTAGTGTCACAATGCTATGGGCCTCCATGGCTGGTGACAGGGATAGCTTTACTTTTTTTTTTATCGTCTTGTATGCTCACATCATCAAAAGTTTCTCAGCCTGACATATACTTCACTTTACATATATGTATGGATACTGCTGGCATTGGAATGGCAGCATATGTAGTTGACAAATACTCAAAAGACTGTGAAGGAACATTCCTTTCCATGCCGTGCTATTTGTATTATATTATTACATAATCCTTCTATGCACATGAAAAAGGTAACAGTGGGATGAAAGCTGTACATTATCCAATTTCAAGTTACCACAGTACTGTCAAGTGCTGACACTCTGCATGAATGAAAGTTATGCCAATCACAAACAAGCAAGCAGTCTTTGATTTCAGTCTACAGTGTCCATCATGTGAATACTGATAAAATTTTGATCTGCATTTCTGAATTGCATTATACTACATAAAGAATATGGTTTACACTAGACTATTTGTGTTACTCATGGGAGAAGGCAAATGTTGGTCTCAACATATCATTTGATATCATGCAGGACTGGAAAGAAATACAGGAGAAAACTGGAAAGGTTAATAGTATGAAAACTTATATGACAAATGGCAAGATTTCCTTTGAAGCCTTGCCATCTAGACCTAAATATATATATGTGTGCGCGCGCACATGCGCAAATTTCCTGTTTGTTTCCTGTGAACCTACTAGACAACACCCAAAGGAATAAAATTTACAATACACTCTTGCCAATACCTCTGTTGACCATGGCTGTTAGAATGAAGCACAAGTACTGCCACAGAATTTCTGGATGCAAATCAAAATTCTTATTCCAAATCTTTTTCAGTTACATAGGTTTTAATTCCTTAATTTGAGTGTTATTCCTTCTTGAAAATTTTAGCTGCTGTATATTGTGATACTGATAAGGAAAACAACCATATCCTGGGCAAGGAATGGAGGGTTTTGTTTGTGTTGCAATACTACCAAAAAAGTATACAAGCTTTTCCTACTTATAGACTTAAAATATTGTCACGTTCCGGGTGTATAACGCGACAAATAACCTCACGCCGTTGTTTGGTATAGCGAATTTATTCTGTTCGCTCGCCTTACACACACTTTACAAACATTTGCACTTGCAGTGTTACAATTACTGCTTACAATATTCCGGCCGACACTGGACTCTCTTCTCTGGCGGTTATTCTAGGACTTTCTTCTAAGATGGCTCGATCACGACTGACTTCTCCGACGGATATTCCGGGACTGACTGTCGAATGCATTCAGCCCCGCTATATAACCTTGGTCGCTGCTATGCAACGAACCCTCTGTTATAGAGGTGGAAACGTTGCTCTGTCGGTTCNATGTTAGAATATACTGAGTAAAGTGCAACTGTTGATTTTTCAATGTATTCTTTCATGCAATCAATTTCCTTTTCACCACCATCATGTATACAGTAGTGAAAACATGACATTACCTGAAGAAAATTAAAGAACAGTTCAAAATTCATTTCTCATGTAGAATTAGTTATGAAATAGATGTAAATACACTGCATTTATAACATTCACAATTTTTATTATATTTCAGCATCCCATTGCATTGAATACACAGGTAGACCACACTATTGATATATACAACACACAATAGAGTACGACATTCTGATGAGATAAAAACTAAATATTGACATGCATTGAAGCACAATGAACAAGTATACAGTATCGCTTATACTTTTTCCTTCTACCCTGAAGATGGAGGCAATACGTTCCTCCGAAACATCGGTTAACACCACATATACACGGTGCCAAATCCCAGAAGACTGCTTTCTTCGGTCTGTTCTAGCGTTTCCAGAGAAGTGACTCTTCTGGATTGCCGACACGTTACAAAATGTTAGAATATACTGAGTAAAGTGCAACTGTTGATTTTTCAATGTATTCTTTCATGCAATCAATTTCCTTTTCACCACCATCATGTATACAGTAGTGAAAACATGACATTACCTGAAGAAAATTAAAGAACAGTTCAAAATTCATTTCTCATGTAGAATTAGTTATGAAATAGATGTAAATACACTGCATTTATAACATTCACAATTTTTATTATATTTCAGCATCCCATTGCATTGAATACACAGGTAGACCACACTATTGATATATACAACACACAATAGAGTACGACATTCTGATGAGATAAAAACTAAATATTGACATGCATTGAAGCACAATGAACAAGTATACAGTATACAGTATTGATTATACTTTTTCCTTCTACCCTGAAGATGGAGGCAATACGTTCCTCCGAAACATCGGTTAACACCACATATACACGGTGCCAAATCCCAGAAGACTGCTTTCTTCAACATCAAAAAGTACTGAAATACATTTTCAGTGCGAAACATATACCTAATGTCTTGTAAATTGTTGCATTATTGACGGACACTTTGAAAATTAGGATGATTCAAAATTTGTAATTGATGTGGTCATATACTATAGTACTGGTAAATGGATGCTGAATGAACGGTGAAGTTTTGCAGTATAAAAACTATACTTATGTATTAATCCCGAAAGAATTAGCAACACAAAACTGCATATAATTCTTCATACTACATCACTCATATTGCACACGATTATTTGTCATCAAACAGCTACTTACCTTAACATATGGCCATGGACCTGCAAAAATTTGAAGTTTCATCTTCCTTCAGTCAATACAAGTACACATTTCTGCAATGTGTATCCTGTTTCTGTTGTCTATTTCTCAGCAGTAAGTGTTATGTAATGTCAAATGTGTTTCTTTATGACAGATATTTTATTTGTATAATTTGGCTTTTGGGATTTAGCTGCATCATCATCTCCTGAAGACCAATGTTACAGAGAAAGGTGATGAAAACCTAAGGACAAAATATGTCATTTAATGTGATCATAAGTTTACGCACAAATATAAATTTGTAGCACTCCAGCAATAATATACTTGCCATGCATGTCAGATATCCATGCAAAAATTGGTTTCAGTCTTCAAAAGTGCAATACTTTCTTTACAATAATTTCATTACAATGTAGTTACCAAAAAGCTTTCATATGATTTAATTTTTTATAATAATATGCAAAACACTGAATCAAATAAACATAACCACACAAGAATTCATAAAAAATATTTTTCTCAAAACTTTATAACCTGTACATAGACCATCTTCATTATACCAGTTAATGACAGATGGCCATTCTTCATTAGGTGAGCAGCAAATAAAGAACTAATTCCTTTCCTTTATTATAACACAGCTTTCATCATTAAACTATGTACAAGTCAGAAATAAATAAAATATAACAGATCACTTATAAAAACAGAGCAGCACTTTGAGGTCATACCATTTAATCAGTTTCAAACTGCAGTTCAACTCTGGAATAATTTCTTCTCTTTGTTT